CAGACACACATCAGAATACCTCCATCGAATAGGTTGAAATGCTAAATCAAAGAATATTCTTAAAATCAATGTATAAAAAGAAAATTAATAAAAACACTTAAACCATTAGAGATAGATAGCATTTCCAGCCCAAAACGCACAGAAAATTACCATTTTGTCTCGACCCTTTTCGATTTGAATGGAAGTTTGCTTTTGTGTTGATTACAAGTTTTAATTCACTTACGTCAAAATGTAAAGTAGCAAAAACGTGACCCTTAAGGGCCACCCACATTAGATCCGGATCTGACGCGTTGCGGCAAAGTGGCAGCTAAATCTATTGTCTAACTGTAAAATTTACGTCAACGCAACGCAAACGGATCTAATGTGCGTTCAAAGTTCAAATCACGCCGGTTGTTGGATGATTTCGGTGAACGGACGAGAACCGGTGATTTGAACATGGTATGATAGTTGACAAGAGCAGAAAGCCTGCTTTTCTTCCATCCATGCCACAGTCTGATATAGATTACGAGAAATTGCCAACCAGGCTTGCCTAAACTCCTCGAACTCAGATTATGCCGTATAGATGCTCATTCATCGTGAGCTAGTTCATCCCTCACATATAAAGAGCAATGGTGTCAAATCCAAAGAGCGCAAAAGAGCTCGAGCTCAGATTGATGCTCAAGATGGACTTCCACAAACACGCATCACGATGAGGGATGCGGGGTTCGTTCTTGAGTGAGACGTGATTTGCATCGGCTCTGCTCACCAAACAACATTTTGAACTTCGGGATGGACTCGGTGAAACCGTAAATATAGAGCTTCTTATGCATTCGGAGAGAGCACGCACGGCCTTTGATTTATGCACGGTTCTTCCATTCAATATTATGATAAAAAAAAACAATACATACAATGGACTATAGGATCATTCCCATAGAACGTAACATTTTGAGAGATTGATGTTTTTTTAACTCGAGTACCACTTTTTGGGTTACTCAAAATCTTTGATCGTTTTTTTTCCGCTAAGTGCTTTATGAGTGAATAAACGAAATTATATTTCTGACTTAGAATGTACGAGGGAAAAACTAGTAAAAGCACTAATTACTCCGTTTATGAATTATCCCTTGATGCTGTCTTCGTATTCTCCTGTTGCCTTTTAACATGTTCATTCACACGCTAACTTAAAAGTACCCATTAAAGAGTAAAAAAATACCAATTTTGAAGAAAAGTTGCTTAACTCATGAAATGAGTAAAACAGACTTTACTCATTAATGAGTATTCGATGAATACGTCAAAAAAAAATACCCTTCTTGTTTCTGTAGATGAATAAAAAGTACCCATTTTGTTGATTTGTGTTTTGCTTCATGGGACTATCTGGCATTAAACCACGTAAATCTTATAAAAATATTCAAAATAATTGAAACACGTCATACTCTTTATTGTATATAATCACAATAATTATCATATAACCGAGTTCCAAGGCATAAAGTTGTCCTTGCGAAAGAACACTTTTGGAACTAGATCCAGTTCACTTCTGGTCGGTCCGCGACAGATGCTGCTCATCGCACAGGTTCGCTTTTCCCTTTTTAGAGTTCTTCGCTAGCCTGAAACGGAACACATTTTCAAAATACGTGTCTTAATTTTCATCATGATTGCACTTCTAATTCTTACCTCCTAACAACCGGTTCCAAATTCCTATAACGAAAATTTTTGAAATGGTTTCGGTGAGTATTGTCTCGAATAAAACAGACAATACTCGCTTCGCGAATGATCACAACACTCACTTATTAAAAAAAATATCAGACACGTTGGATCTTCACTTCGTCAGGGATGTGTTGACGTTGATTGAAAGCATATTTTTACCCATTCTTTTTTGCAGAAGACATTTTCTCAAGTAAAAGTACCCGCTTTCGTTTTTTTGAAAATACCCATTTTTTGACAGATTTGAATAACTTCACAAAATGAGTACAAGATACTCATTTAATGGGTACTTCCGAGTTAGCGTGCATTCAATTCGCTACCTTCGCTGCACACACGGTAGCTCGGAAATCTTGCTGGGCCAACAATTGAAATAGGCAGAACAACCAAACGTAAGCAATGGCTTTAAACACAAACTTCTTGAGAATCAAAACACTACCACGTAAACTAAAATTTCCATTTGATAAAGGAAGTTTACTCTCAGATCATTATCAGATCAGATGATGGCGTTAGATTGTTTGGATGTGCTTTGATTTTCAAAAAAATTATGTTGAAAGCCACAATGGCTTTGGCTTGGCACATTTTGTTGTCCCGCCTATTTTAATTGTTGGTCTAGCGTTGTTTAAATCAGGTGGAGTCTGAATCGGTTAATTCATAACCTTCCTGTGGAAAACGAAGCCGCCTCACAAGATTTGAATACTGTTGTTGAGGTCGAGGCTGTCGAGGGTGAAGTGAACCATTCTATGACTTAGAGGTAAATTTTAAACATAAGATAGAATTGGTGACGAAGTTTTTACCCTAATAAACGCGTACCATACACTAACGATATCAGAGATGGTACGGGCATACTACATAAAGTTAAGATTATATCCCGAATTGGTGGTTAGGCGCTTCTTATGGTTATTTTTTTGCGGGTAGTTTCTAGTTCTTGTTTTAGTATTGGTGATCAGTGCTGTAATTTCTCAAAATCGGAACTTCACTGTATCAACTTCACCCCGACGGGTCCCCGCATCCCGGACAAGGACCCCAATACCCACAGCTCACCCTTAATCGCACCCCAAAATAAGCAGGGATTTAGATGCCCTGCCTGAAGATCTTTTTTTATTTTCATTTCTTTGCAATCCGTTTTATTTTGCTTTACCCTGCACTCAAATACTAAAATAATTTCAAAATATGTTTATTTTGTTCGCATAGCTGTCAAACCAAACAAAAACAAATACGTTTATTTTCAACACGAATATATAGAATAGAATATAGACAGTTACCCTATGAATACCATTATTGCCACTTTGGCGTTACGGAACGTATATGCATACGTTTAATAATGTTTTTTTTTTCATTTCTTGGTTGTGCACTTCTTTCTCGATACAAAACAAAATCACTCATTCATGCGCACTGGGAGAAGCCATCAAGAGCCAAGCTCTCTACGAATACATCACGAAGCTCCAAGTTTACTGCTTTGCGCGAGCGCATCACGAAGTTAAGGTGTATTCAGATCTGAGCGATATTTCACCCGTGGAGCGAGATTTTGCGAAGGTAAGAGAGGGAGAAGAGTACCAGTTGTCTCTCTCATTTCAACGCAAATTTTGGTCCGCTACGCTAATGTACGCTTAGATCTGAATACATCTTTAAAATGTCTGCTCGGCAGGCAGAGTCAATGCCGCCGGGATGTTCTGAGGCATAACATCTCTGATCACGCCTTCCTTCGGATGGGAAGTAAAGCCGTTGGTCCCCGGTTCATGAGTTGATGGGTCGATAGGTAGGGTCCAGGTGTGGGAGCTGCTTTCCTGGCACGTCGGTAGCATTAGTGCTCAGCACGGAAAACAAGATCGACGGAAAAAACAAAACAAAGGAAAAAGGCAGAGTCAATGTACACCCGAGAACGAGCTCCACATCCCTCACAAAGATGCGGGTTGGTAAGAGCCCAGCTTAAGCATCCTATTCAGCAAACAATAAATTTTAATATTACATCCAAGAGAATGCACTTCAATCATGTCGAAAATCTCATGTAATTTTTATGGCCACAAAAATAAACAAATGTAGTAAAAGCAGCGTCAGTTCATGCATCTTGATAATTTTGTCCTTTTTGGCAAGTAATATAAAATCATATTTTCGACACGATTGAATATTTTTTATTTTGTAAATACATCATGTACATTTAACGATGACAATAGTTCTATTGTATCAGTGCAATGTGATACGATATTAATTACGGATAAAATCATAGCATAGGCACTAAAAACGAGTTTTCCATATTTTAGGGAAGTTTCCGAATTCCAGTGACATATTGAAAATGCAATATAATGGACCAGTAGGTTCAGTTGCTAAAGTTTTCGTAAAAGCAGGACGAACTCCGTCAGGGCCAGGACTCTTTAAGACACTTTAATATATCTTGAACGTTGATTTGACTTCGCTGATGTCATTTGAAAACTCTGGATAAGATCCAAAATATTTACGGCCAATTTGCAATCAAATTGTATATATCTTGCGAGTTCACACCTACCCAATCGTCTGAATATATCTTTGATGAAAAATTGCCAGATTTTAATTTGTTTTTCATGTTATTGAAGAAATGCCATATTCACGGCCGAGTTTAACTGATTGATATAGCTGTATTTAATGAAATTTATTTGTGCTGTGTGTTTTTTTAAGAGTTTGGCCAGGGAAAGGGATGGTGATATTTGTGTAAGTTGTAAATATTCTTTGTTTTTGGCTAATGTATTTTCATATATGTTTGTTGGATTAGATCATAGAATATAGCACATAGATCAAGAAGCTCTCTATCCATCATCTACCTTGAAAGAGTTACATTTGATCGTGGGTGGGTATGATAAGTGTGAGAAACCTCTCACTACTAATAACGGATAGATAGTAACGATAATGATAACAGACTCCCTTTTTGGTTTGCATTGATTGGTTACATTGCTTCGTTGTTGTCAACAGCAGTTTTGGTCGTTTTTCTTTATTATATTTTGTACACCACACACGTGAGATGGAGATCCCACAAATCAAATGATTGAATACTGGCCCTAGATATTTATACCTCTTAGATTCATTAGAGAGCCTAAGTAAAAATATATCTTCTCTTACCGGGTCATCGTTGTCTACTCGCCTGTCCTAATCCTAACATTATCACACGCATTTTCTTGACATAGCCATTAATTTTCATGGTGAAAACATATATACAAGTTTGAAAATATTATTACTCAAGAGGAGGTATCCGTGATCTTCCACAAGGATAAAAGTGGCATCGTTACTGGCTGTTGCGGAAAAGATTGTAGAAGGTTGCCTTGCTTGGAAAAAGACAACAATTCAAATGTGTCATCGTCAGCCTCTGTATAATCCTCGCCTTTTCTATTGTCTACTGTCATATGAATATAGATTATACTGACCAATAAACGTTATCTATGGATGTACATATTCTGAATAGATTAGTCCAGTTATTCGATAGCGAAGTCATTTCCCTAGGATCGTATCAGTTTAATATTTTGTTTTAGTTACAATCAATGCTGGAGTCACGGAGCTTCAGAAGCTGTGTAAATTTAGACGGTTTCCAGTCACCGTTCAATTCACTTTTCTTCATGAGTTGAACTCCAATAAAGGCAATTAAAGCTCCTTGTACTATGTTCCATAAGAAAGGCGTTGAATTGTTATCCTTTGTGGGCATTTCATTGGCAACAAAACGATCGACACGAATACGGTCTTCTCCAAGACGACCGTCAACCAACTTCCGGACATCGCGATCCATTCGTCCTTGATCCAAGCGCTCTTGACGTTCAAGACGTACATCCTCCATAATTCTTTCACGGCGGTCAGACATGTGACGTTCCCTGCCGTCAATACGTGAGTTTTCTTGCCTATTGCGTCTATCGCTCTGTTCCCTTCGGTCATCCGTGCGTGCCATTCTACTATCTTCACGATCGTCGACATCTCGTGTTTGTTCACGAACTCGCCGTTCTTCAACATCTGCTGCATCTTCACGGATTATACCATCTCCAATGCGCTCCCGTGTTTCTCTCTTACCATCTCTCGTTGTTTCACGAGCCATACGCTCATTCCTTTCTAGACGGTCGTTTACTTGATCAACGCGTTCACGACGTTCTTCTAACCTTCCTTCAATTCGTTCTCTCGATTCACTTCGTTCGCGTCTCTCTAAGTCATGGTTCAGTCGATCTTTTCTTTCATCACGTACCTCCTCTTGCGCATCTCGTTCACGACGCACATCAAATCGCTCTTGGCGTACTCGTCGATCATCATTTCGTGATTGATACCGTTCATCATTCACCCTACGATCTTCGAAACGTGTATCGAAACGCTCACGCATCCTTTCTTCGCGAGCACGATTTTCATCAGATCTTTCCTCAGAGTTGCGATCGGTTTCACTTTCACGATGAGCTACAAATCTTTCACCGGCATTTTCAGATTGCCTGTCGTTTCGATGCTGATCGGTTTCAGTACGCTTATCGGACAATCGCTCATATCGTGACAAACGCTCATCACGTGTATCAAATCGCCGTTCGTCAGCACGCTCCAGGTCATGTCGATCAAATCGGCGTTCAGCTCGATTAAACAGGAGGAGACGTTGCTCCTGGTCTTGATCCAAACGGTCTACTCGTTTATCCGAATAGAAACGACTTTCGTCTTCGTTGCCATTGCACAATCCATCCACATCGCAAACACGCCGATCTTGAAGACCATCGATTATTGGCACTAAACACAGTACCAACATGGTCGTGCCCATCAGGTACACCAATTGAACGTTTGATTTTGATTGTTTCATTGTGACTGCTGTTGACACTGTTCCACAGGATATACTATCACTGAAACACT